CAAAAAACTAAAAAACAAACAAAAAAAAAACAAAAACAAACGTACAGAAAAGGACAACACGTAAAATGTTTACTTGTAATGTTACGAGGATGCATTTCTGTAATAAGGGATTCCTTTGAGTTCTACTTGTTATTACAAAAAAGTTTTCATTCATGAAGTAGTTGTAAAATAGAGAAATTAGAAATAGAATGTTTGGAAGATTCTAGATCATTCTAGTATATTCGAGAAAAATCTAGATGATTCGAGAAACATCTAGAAATATGCAAATTAGGTGTTAGCCCCTATAAAATGGGATTTTGGAAAAGGGTTGTCAGTTGTTGAATGGAAATTTCTGCTGTTATCAACTCCGGCTTTTGATTCAAGGACTATTATATCCAGCCGAAAGAATCTCTATAAAAAGTTGCCGACCAACCAAAACCCAAAAGAGAATTTCATGGAACAAAGTTGTGACTGATTATTTTCGCATCCTGTCGGCACTCCTACACTTTTTAAAAACAACTGAAAGAAAAGCTTAACCAGCTTTTGTCGTAAAACTGATTCAGGATATAAAAGGGCCTCAAAGCATCGAAAAAAGCATCCTTCAGCGGCCCAAATGACTAGGATCTATTCTAGCAGCTAAAAGCCGGCCCACGGCTCCAGCCACCAGTAGTTCCAGCCAGCTATCATCATATGCAGCTTCAGCTTGCCATCGGCCGCCACCCCAGTCATCTTCAGCAATCCTCGCCAGCAGCAACGATATGCAATAATCTGTTCTTTTCAGCGACTACAAAATTCTCCTTTTCATGACAACACATTTCGACGACTACCAAAAAAACGCTCTTCTCACCCGCTATATGAACATGCAGAGATATTTTTGCCCTATTTTTGTTGATGTATTTTCTTTAACAAAAATAAATTTGACAATATATGTCTTTAAAAAAAAAAAAAATTGATATTATGACTTATTTCTTTACAAAAAAAAAAAAAAAAGACTGATATTGTCTTATAAAAGTTTTTCATTCAAATTTCAAAACTTTTACTTTGAAGGGGGGAAGTGTTACGAGGATGCATTTCTGTAATAAGGGATTCCTTTGAGTTCTACTTGTTATTACAAAAAAGTTTTCATTCATGAAGTAGTTGTAAAATAGAGAAATTAGAAATAGAATGTTTGGAAGATTCTAGATCATTCTAGTATATTCGAGAAAAATCTAGATGATTCGAGAAACATCTAGAAATATGCAAATTAGGTGTTAGCCCCTATAAAATGGGATTTTGGAAAAGGGTTGTCAGTTGATGAATGAAAATTTCTGCTGTTATCAACTCCGGCTTTTGATTCAAGGACTTTTATATCCAGCCGAAAGAATCTCTATAAAAAGTTGCCGATCAACCAAAACCCAAAAGAGAATTTCATGGAACAAAGTTGGTAAATAGAATTTTGACTAATTTTCATTGACCAAACAAAAAATTAATATTTATTTACACACCTTTGTGGATTTCCAAATATAGCACTTAGATTACTTCACTAGCCCTAAAGTGATAAAGATATTTGACTCCCTTTCCTTCTCCCTCGTAGCACTTGCCAGTAACTCTGTGTTTTCTGTTTTGTAGGCCACAATTGTTTATCTTGTATATATTTTATGTTCTGTTTTAGTAAATTAAATATTTGTTTGTGATTTAGCTCTGTGTTGTGGTAAATAATTTTTTTTCTTTTGTTACAATTATCAACACGTAACAGTAATCATTAGGTAAAACTTCGAAAATTCAACAAGACAAATAGAAGATATGAAAAGAAAAGATGAAATCCTTATTGCAACAAAACTGACAAAAGACAAATCTAAAAAGGACCCAATAAATAAATTTGACGAAGATGGCGATAAGCACAGAACGAAAAAGGTTCGATTTGAACGGGTATCTATCTGAAGAAATTCAGCTGTAACCATGTGTTAGAATCGTCCTTCTAAATATGATTTTTTCATTGTAATTATCCGAGTTTCACTGAGAGCAGTCGTTTGCAATAAACAAGCGACCTTGTCTATGCATTGTTGAAATAAGTGTCTATCACACACACACACACACACACATACTCTCACTCCCTCTTCTCTCTCTCTCTCTCTAACCCACACACACATATACTTTTTGCAGCTAAGTATATTTTATTATTTATATCATAAAAGCTTGACCTGTACCTTAACTTAACACGGATATGATAAATGATTTGTTTATCTAACTTCATTTAGTAAAAATAAAATGAAAGTTTGTTATGGCTCTTGGGATCTACAAGCGGTTTCTTAAACCCGATATTTCTTAAATCGAGAGAAGTTAATTCGAGGTATTACTGTAGCCCTTTCCAATATATATACGAATTTCCTTCCTATCTTTTTGTTTTTAGTAAAATAGAAAGTTAACAGCTTCGTCATGTATAGTAAAACTTTTTACAATCTAATGTTATAATAAAATCATTTTCAGTATATCCCGAAGGTAAAAAATAGTTGTTTACTAATGGCAAACATTCAGCATCTAACTGACCGAAGGGTTAGCATTACTGTCGGTTCAGATTTACAACAGTGAGATCGTCTCCTCAGGACGGTGTTTATATTTTAAAGTACATTAATTTAAATCAAAGGGTATGTGACCGATTTCTCAAACCGCTGGCCTTTTGACCATCAGATTGTGGTTTCGATTTTCAACATCGGCAATTATATCAGAATTACATTGACTCTCCCTATCGGCGTATTACGCTCATAAGGCTGTCGCTCTAACTCTTCGATCCTGTTTCTACTATCATTGAATAATTTTTCTCTATATAGCTGGCGACATCATGGCAAACAATCAGAACGAGGCGTTGAACGAGACGTTGAATGGGATTAACCTCCTGAAAATTGAAATTTTGTTAAAAATACTCATTTTTTTCTCTGAATATGCGCCATTATTTTGAAAAATACAAAGACCACGATCAGAACAAAACAGCCAATGGGCAATTTTTGTTTTTAAAAAAAAAGAAGACTACGTTCTGAAATTTGAATGAGATTCTAAACGAGACGTTGAACGGGACTAACCTCTTGACAATTGAAATTTAGTTAAAAATACACATTATTTTCATTGAATCTACGATACTATTTGGCAAAAGACAAACAAAAACCATGAAGAGAACAAAGCAGTCGTTTATGGTCAATTTTAAAAAAAAAACGAAGACTACTCACTGAAATCTGAACGAGAAGTTGAACATGACGTTGAACGAGATGTTAAACGAGGGTAACCTCTTGAAAATTGAAATTTTGTTAAAAAATACTCATTTTGTTTTCGTATGAGAATTAAAATAATAAAATATTTTTTCTTTGTAATTTTCTAACGCTGAAGCTGCATCCCTATTTGGCAAAAGACCAACAAAGTTGTCCATGATGGGAACAAAGGAATAGTTTATGGTCAATTAAAAAAACAACAACAAAAAACAAAAACAAACAAAAAAAAAACAAGAGAACAGACTGTAAAATTTAAGCGCAAAAATTGAATGCATCCTTTATGATTTTTTTCAGTCCGGTACTTGTGTTAACATTTGATGTTGTTAACTTTTGTTTGTCTTTGAAGTTGAGATAACAATGATTTGAACGCATACAATAACAATATGATACAAATTGAGAACGACCTATCGTCAAAGTGCGTAAGATTTTGTTTTCTCTCGAGCCAAACAATGAAATTAAATTGGTAAATAACATTATCTCCTAACCAAAAATAACTTCATTTGTTTTTCTTTCACACTGAAGTTTTCCGACGGAGGAGTACATACGTGCGTTTATAACGAATAAGTCAGATCTTAGCCAACTTATTTTGATCACGATTTTAAAAAAATACCTTAATGCAACAAAGATAATTTACTGGCTGTATATTCCTCCATTTTAAAATATAAACTCACGAAATGGCCGTCGAAGATCATAAAATTTAGTTTGAGTATTCTCGAACAACGTTAGTCGTTGTGTGGATATCAGTGTCTTCTATATGAAAATATCTAAAAGATGTTACAAAAATCTTTTCGATGATTATCAACTAAGTGAAATGGACCTGATAAGAACCATGTGAAACGACGCTGATAAAGAAGATCACTGAGTTGAACAAGATCCTCGTTTAATGATAACATGCTATTTTTAGACAAAGATGTCAAGACAAACAACGATATTCACTAAAAGTCAGTGGTCTCTAGTATCTGAAAACAGGGACCGATCACCGTGGCGCGAAGAGGCAGACACGCCCGTTAGAATGTTCGCCACCCCTCTACCTTACAGAAGAAGGATATAACCGAATAAAATGTGCTTACTGCTATAATCGGCTCATGGTTTTATTTCTGGCTGATGGATTATATTTGTAAGCGTTTGACTCGAAACAAGCTGCACCCTGAACGTAATGTCTGGTATGAGTTGCAATACAATATCATTATCACAGACGAATTACAAGAGAGAAAAGTTTTGATTACCTTCATCCTGACATATTTTTAGAAGCGTTACAATTTTAAGATATATGTTCGTATATCGAACAGCGCGGTGATGTATTGATAGGTAAACAGATATCAGTCCAGAAAAGAAAATGGATGAGCTGTGTTTAAATAGTTTATTTCAGTTATAAAATGTTATATTGACATCATGAATCAGGCTTACCTAATATACGGCCGACGAGGTTATCCAGTGTATCCCAACTTACGGCCACATCACGTTGGAACATCATTTCCCATATGATCACCGAAGTTAAACGACCCGCGAGGTTACCCAATGTGACTTTACTTACGGCCACATTACGTTGGAACACCATTTTCAATACGATCATCGAAGTTATACGGCTAGCGAGGTTACCCAATGTGACTCGGCTTACAGCCACATTACGTTGGAACACCATTTCCCATACAATCACCAAAGTTATACGGCTCGCGAGGTTACCCAATGTGACTCGGCTTACGGCCACATAATTTTGGAACATCATTTCCCATACAATCACCAAAGTTATACGGCCCGCAAGGTTACCCAATGTGACTCGGCTTACGGTCACATCACGTTGAAACACCGTTTCCGTATGATCACCGAAGTTAAGCAAAGTTGAACATGGTCATTACTTAGATGCGAGACTGCTTGAGAATATCAGGAACTGTAAGCTTGGATATGCGGGTGGTGTAACGGATAATTCCCGGAATTGTTAATCGGAGAACCTAGTTCCAATTCCAGTTATACGAAATTACCCTTGCGAACTGTATGGATTCACCTTTTCTCCCCAGCTATGGGTTAATTAGTAAGAATGTATCACTAGAATTATTATTATTATTATCTAAAATGCAAAGAAATAAAACAAAATTGCATACAAAATATTCAAATTTTGGCATTAAATTACTCATAGAGGTGTTGATATGCTGTGAAACAAAAACAACCAACCAACCCACTGTGACTTGGGGGGGGATTTCAGAATAGTAATTTTTTGTGTTAATCAGAATAAGTTCGGTGACTAGTCGTGTACTAAAAATTCAGTTCTTTAGAAACGTACATTTATTTCACTATCTTCATTTTAATCATTTTAACACTCCGTAGAGAAATAAAAATGTCGCAATTCTTCTCACTATATAACTGGCGCAATTTAATTTGTAATAGTATTCCTTCTAGGCTGCCTGCTATCCAGGGCTAAAGAACCGAGTCTATGCTTCCATTTAACCCATAGCTAGAAAATATCAAATGTATTAATGACTTCCCCAAAGACATTAACATCAAATAAATGAAACAGTCGTTGGTGTTGTTATTTTTGCAATTGATTTAACCATTTAATAACAACGGGCAACAATTTATGTAAAGGCACGAGATATTAAAACGGTTTTAGTGTAAATCAGTTTTGCTCAATTCGAAAATGTACTTAATTCTGTTGAATTGGCATTAATTTTCAAGATATTGAACATCAATTAATTTCAATGGTTTAATTTTCACCCAAACATGCTAGATTTGCTTTTTCTACTCGTCGCTTTGTTTACGTTAGGGGAGATAACACTACCCAAGAAAGAGAATTCTTCACTTTGAGTACAGAAAATTACTTCCGGTCTCTCATTAGGTGAACTACGCTCTAACCAACTGCGCTAACCGGACACCCAAATTACTTCCAGACTCAATACTTACGGACAAGGCGAGAAACAAGATGGCTGCCGTTTAATTTATTTCATTTGATTTGTTTAACGCTATATCAACACCTCATGGATTATTTAATGCCCAGATTTGATTTTCTTATGAACATTGAAGTAATAAAAGATGATATACGTAATTCTGCTTTCACAATTGAATACATGGTAGATGATACTTTTTTGCATATATATGTTTGTGTGGACATTATTATTAAAGGGGGTGACATATATGTGTTTTATGACGTAGTTTCTTTAAGTTAAATTGTGGAATACAGTGAAAGTTTGAAAAAATTGTAGAATATTATATATGAAAGATTTCTTTCATGTTTGTTTTGTTGGTTGATTTTGTTTGGTGGCATATCAACATTTATGGATTATTTATTGCTGAAATCTAAATATTTTGTACATAATTTTATTCTTTGCACAACAGATATTTTGTACATAATTTGATATTTCAGAGTAGAAATAAGTTTTTAGATATACATTTTGTAGATCATAAAATATATTGTTGGTAATTTTACAATAAAAATGTATTTTTATATTTTTTTAGTGTTACTTTGTTATTTTGTTCTAAAAATATATTGTTCGTCATTTTATTATGAAAAATGTACAGTTTAGTTTTACTTGGCGGCTCATAGAAAGTGACCCTAAAAGGTGCTACCACCCCGGGTCAGGGTGGACTTGGGAACAACAACAATTAAGACGTGTTTTGACGCTACTCAAAACCTCCAGAGGCCTTATTGATGGATGTAGTTTTTCATCCACTTGCATCCAGTAAGGTGAAACAAAAAATAAATAGATTGTATTCAAAATACAATTGCCTTTTAACTTTATATTCTTTGTTTATCCAATCAGTATATAACATGCGTTTACATTCCTTAAAATTGCATAATTCTTTAGCTGTTAAGGAAAAACTTTTAATACCATTGTTCTTGTCAAAGATATGAATGACAGTATATAGAAAGCACGACCCAATCTGCTGCTATCAGTCTTGCAGAGGATTGAGAGAGCTGCAGCCAATCTGCTGCTATCAGTCTTGCAGACAGGATTGATAGATCTCCAGCCAATCTGCTGCTATCAGTCTTGCAGATAGGATTGATAGATCTCCAGCCAATCTGCTGCTCTCAGTCTTGCAGATAGGATTGATAGATCTCCAGCCAATCTGCTGCTATCAGTCTTGAGGGCAGGATTGAGAGAGCTCCAGACAAGCTGCTGCTCTCAGTCTTGCACACAGGATTGAGAGATCTCCAGCCAATCTTCTGCTCTCTGTCTTGCAGCCAGGATTGACAGAGCTCCAGACAATCTTCTGCTATCTGTCTTGCAGACAGGATTGAGAGAGCTCCACCCAATCTGCTGCTATCCGTCTTGCAGACATGATTGAGAGAGCTCCAAACAATCTGCTGCTATCAGTCTTGCAGAGAGAATTGAGAGAGCTCCAAACAATCTGCTGCTATCAGTCTTGCAGACAGGATTGATAGAGCTCCAGCCAATCTACTGCTCTCAGTCTTGCAGACAGGATTGACAGAGCTCCAGACAATCTGCTGCTCTCAGTCGTGCAGACAGGATTGAGAGAGCTCGAGACAATCTGCTGCTCACAGTCTTGCAGACAGGATTGATATAGCTCCAGCCAATCTCCTGCTCTCAGTCTTGCAGACAGGATTGACAGAGCACCAACCAATCTGCTGCTATCAGTCTTGCAGACAGGATTGACAGAGCACCAACCTATCTGCTGCTATCAGTCTTGTAGACAGGATTGACAGAGCTCCAGCCAATCTGCTGCTCTCAGTCTTGCAGACAGGATTGAGAGAGCTTCAGCCAATCTACTGCTCTCGGTCTTGCAGACAGGATTGAGAGAGCCCCAGACAATCTGCTGCTCTCAGTCTTGCAGACAGGATTGAGAGAGCTCCAGACAATCTGCTGCCGTCAGTCTTGCAGACAGGATTGATATAGCTCCAGACAATCTGCTGCTCTCAGTCTTGCAGACAGGATTGAGAGAGCTTCAGCCAATCTGCTGCTCTCAGTGTGGCAGACTGGATTGACAGAGCACCAACCAATCTGCTGCTATCAGTCTTGCAGACAGGATTGACAGTGCTCCAGCCAATCTGCTGCTCTCAGTCTTGCAGACAGGATTGAGAGAGCTTCAGCCAATCTGCTGCTCTCAGTCTTGCAGACAGGATTGACAGAGCACCAACCAATCTGCTGCTATCAGTCTTGCAGACAGGATTGACAGAGCTCCAGCCAATCTGCTGCTCTCAGTCTTGCAGACAGGATTGAGAGAGCTTCAGCCAATCTACTGCACTCGGTCTTGCAGACAGGATTGAGAGAGCCCCAGACAATCTGCTGCTCTCAGTCTTGCAGACAGGATTGAGAGAGCTCCAGACAATCTGCTGCCGTCAGTCTTGCAGACAGGATTGATATAGCTCCAGATAATCTGCTGCTCTCAGTCTTGCAGACAGGATTGAGAGAGCTTCAGCCAATCTGCTGCTCTCAGTGTGGCAGACTGGATTGACAGAGCACCAACCAATCTGCTGCTATCAGTCTTGCAGACAGGATTGACAGAGCTCCAGCCAATCTGCTGCTCTCAGTCTTGCAGACAGGACTGAGAGAGCTTCAGCCAATCTGCTGCTCTCAGTCTTGCAGACAGGATTGACAGAGCACCAACCAATCTGCTGCTATCAGTCTTGCAGACAGGATTGACAGAGCTCCAGCCAATCTGCTGCTCTCAGTCTTGCAGACAGGATTGATATAGCTCCAGACAATCTGCTGCTCTCAGTCTTGCAGACAGGATTGAGAGATCTCCAGCCAATCTGCTTCTATCAGTCTTGACGACAGGATTTATGTATTTGGCTCTACCAGTGACCTAGTTTATTTACATTTCAAGTATACAAACTTTGATCATGAGTTCTAAGCGTAAACACCATCACAATAACCTTGGCATTCTCTGCTGCGTATCTCGTGAATTTCACTAGAAGAGCATATCAATCTTACTTTGGTCGGAAGTTTGGGGATCAAGATACATCAAGGGCTCCTCACAAGTTTTGTAAGAATTGTACCGAAACCCTTTGCTCGTGGACCCAATGTAAAGTCTAGTCAATGAAGTTTGGAGCATCAGTGGTGTAACCCAAAAATAATCATGACGATTGCTACTTATGTATGGTTAATATGTCAGAATGGAACAGTCACAAGAAGAAATTGTGACACTATCCTGATATTGAATCTACAAGATGACCAGTTCCACATTGTGGTGGTGTTCCCGTTCCTGATGTTACTTCTTTGCATGATCTTGGTCAAGATGATGTCACTATGATTATTGCAGAAACAATGGGTGAGGCTTTCGACAGCAACAGCAGCAACAACAACATTAGTAGTATTTATCATTCGGATTTAGATTTATTTTCAGACTGCAAAAGTGAAGTTCCTCCCAGAAGAAATGCTGGATGGTTTGGTTAGAGATCTAGCTATGTTAAAAGAGTTTGAGATGTTGTGCTTCCATCTCAGTGAGCATCGTGTTCTTGACTCTGAAGCTAAGATAACATTTTACTGTAACAGAGACAAGGAACCTGTTCGTTATTTTCGTGAAGAAACGGCTTCGTGTTTTGCAACAACATTCAATGAGGCTGCCTAAGTACAACCAAGCTGAGTGGCGTTTATTTATGGACAGCTCTAAACGAAGTTTCATATCTGTCGTGTTGCACAATGGTGGCAAGTTTTCTTGCATCACAATTGACAATTCAGTGATCTTGAAGGTGCACTACACTAGTGTAAAAATTATTCTGCAAAAACTGTGTTATGATGAGCATGAGTGGATGATAAGTGTCTATTTTAAAATGGTTAACTTTCCGTTGGGCATCAAGCTGGTTTTACCAAGTACCATGTTTCTTTTGTCTATGGGACAGCAGAGACAACGACCACTACTTGTTATGGAGTGGTTTCCCAGTGGAGGCTTGTATTTGTACTAAGTCGGTCCTAAAATAGGTTAGACGAACAAAACATTAGGA